TTTCTAGCTAACTTAGCTGCCTATAGTATTAGCGTCTTCCCTGTATGCAGTTTTCCCCATTCAACCAGGCTGCTCATTCTGTGCTCACTGACTCAGGGAGGAAAATATTAGAGTAGGAAAAAACAAACAAACAAACAAACAAAATAGGGATATTGCCAGCTTTGGTTTTCAAAAGCTGAGAGCCCCCCGGGGGCACCAAGAGCACCTTCATAGGGCCAAAGTGATGAGAGAACCGGTCTGAAGAGGGAGAGACATTCTCCCTCAGGCTCACTGTAAGACCTAAAGTCTCACTTCCACTCCACGGAGCGTGGACAGCCGAAAGGCCTCCACGAGGCTGGGCCCTAACACCCAGCGAGGCTCCGGGAACACGACAGAGAACCGAGAAACCCAGGAAGGAACACACCAGCCTAGATGGTAAAAGACCTTTATTAGTCTGGCCAGACGGCGCTCCCGGAGCCAGGTGGCTCAGAGAGGCAACTGCTCAGGGGCTGAGGTACTTTTTATAAGGTTTTACTAAACAAAGAGTCAGGGAATTCACAGAACAAGACTGCAAACACATTGCTTATCTTATGCAGGAAATGTTCTAGGGTCACCTTTTGTCAAACCATTTGCCCCTGGGTGGGCTGTTAACCAAGGTAGCAATTAGCATATGAAGAAGCACAGTCTGGCCGATTAGCATGGAGTCACTTTAGCCTATTCAAGTCTTACACTCACAAAGACTCTACTATTCTGGACATAACAGGGGAAAGAGAAGGGAACAAACAGAGGAGGCGCAAGGAAAGCAGAGATGCTGCTGATCCTGGGGTGTGGGGTGCTGCTCTGTTTTTTGGGTAGAGACCTGAGGAGTAGGAAGGACATGGCTGGAGAGTGAGCCAGTGATTCTGAGTTTCCAGCTTGGCCCCAAAATGGCCTGGGCTGGAAGAGGCCACACAGCCTGGGAATGAGGGACATGTCAGTAGTAATCACAGAAGACTGATGCCCATGGGCCAGACACAGTGACCACAGTTTCAACTGCCAATTGCATGAATGGATGGCAGCAAGGGCCAAAATGCACCCGGTCTCACCTCCATTGTTTCTCATGAATATTCACAGCCTAGCAGCATTCCCTGAAAGTGAAAGGAAGAGTTTGTGTTGATCAGGGTGACATTTTTAAACACCTGATTGGATAGGGGCTAAAAATGAAGTTGAGTTATATAAGTATTACAGTTTTGTACATGGCTGTGTGAAAGAATGAGAATCATAACCAGTACCCATAGAAAGCACCTTGCTTTAGTCTTTGGGTGGATACCACATATGTTTACTGAGTCTGAATCTAGATATTGTTGAGCCTTTGAATCTATTTCATACCCAAGGCCCAGGACAGCCATTCCTGTATCGGTGGTCACAAAGTTTGGTCTCTGGATCCACAGCATCAGCCTCTCTGAGCACGTGTTAGAAACACACTCTCCGTAGGCCCATGCTAGAATCACTGAGTCGGAGAGTCTTCCAGAACTTTCTACAGCACGCGAGACTCTGAGAACCACTACCCTACATCATTTCAGCTTCCTGGTCTTATTTGAGCACTCAGACATGAACATTCAAGCCCCTGTTGGGTACTTGGCTGGTTTCTGCTTGGTGCCGGCCACACATTGTGAACTTCTCCTATAAAGGCAAGAGAGCTTCCAACTTTCCATAGAATTTTCCTCATTGTGACACCCACTTCATTTTGCTTCACTGAGGCTCCAGTTTCTGGAAGGGAAATGGAGCGATAAAGACAAGACCGTTCAGTAAATAAATGGGGAAAAGGAACTGCAGGCAAATGTGGTCTTAAAGCTTAACCAAATCTCCAAGGAACTGGAAAATTTCAGCGGGAATGATTTTCGTGTCCAGCAAGCTCCTGGGGGAAACGCGTGGCCCAAGCACATCCCTGTTTCTGGGTCAGGAAGTGAAGCACACAGATGGAACTTACAAAGGGCGCATGAATGGAGTCCACACAGCCAGTGACCCCACTGAGGTTACTTGGCAGAGGCTCCTTTCATGGGCTCTATTCACAAATAATGAGCAATCCCTGGGCTCGCACAAGAACAAGGCTCCCAGTTGGCCCCTTTTTTTCTTTTTCCTTGACTGCTTTTCACCCTTTATAGAGGACTGCCCCTTTTTTGCCTACTTGGGATTGGTGTGAGCCTTGGTTTGGCCGGAGAAAGAAGGAAGTCCACTGTGGCCTTCCTCAGCCCACAAAGCTGAATTACTCGGCTTCCCTGGCCCCTTTGCCTCAAATAATAGGCCTTTGTGCTTTGAAATGCAGGGAAGTCTTCATTTCTCAGGCTTAAAAAACAAAACAAAACAAAACAACCTTCCTTCAAGTTCCTTCAAGTGAAGGATCAGAACCATCATAAAATTAAACCTGAAAGAATTTTAGATGTTGTTGGAGAGCTGATTTTTAAAGAAATGTATTTGACATATTCTTTCAGAGGGACAAAAATATTGGCTTAACTTAAAAATTCAGCTTTAGGGGCTGGGGATTTAGCTCAGTGGTTCGGTGGCCTGCCTTGCAAGTGTAAGGACCTGAGTTCAATCCCTGGTACCAAAAAAAAAAAGAAAAAAAAATTCAGCTTTAAATAATATCTTGGGGGACAAATGTTTTGCATGTACATATAATATATGTTTTATACATGAATATATAATATACAATACATACATTTCGTACAATATATGGGTGTGTACTATATGTGCATCTCATATATATAGTTATATATTAAGAAACAAAAGCAGTCTTTGCTGTAGGAAATATTTGACAGAGTAAAACTGCATGGCAAAGGAGGAATTCAGCCTTTGGAGTCTGTTGAGATGAGCTTTTGATAATGGACATAATTGAAATCATTCATCTCTGATAATTTTCCCCTGATTTTTCTGTGTTCTCTTCTTTTGAGAGTGTCTTCTAATATCATATTTTTTTTAATTTCAAAAGCAAATTATATTGAAAAAATCATGGTCATAAGGGTTCCATGTGCTTCAGCGGTTTAGGTATATTCATACATCTTTGATTTTCACTTTATCATAAAAAATATGCTTTCACCATTTACTTTAAAATTTTGTACAATGTGGTAGAGAGTGGAAAATATTCTTCCATTAAGAACTCTATTATTCTCTCTTTGGCTAAGTTAGGGCAAGCCAGGCTGTGGGACTAAAACTCAGGTAAGAACTATCAACTTCACGTGAGAACTTATTGTGTGCCCTGTCTCTAGCTACTCTCGGGCCTTACCCATCCGGCTTAGATTTGTGCCTTCTCTCCTCTCAGTTCAGGTGATCATTGTGAGGTTTTCCTCTAAGCTCCAGGCCTTAAACATGCCATCCCCAGCTGGCCAAGGGAGAGATCAAATCTACTGTGGGAGGGGGGGACTGCAGTGATTGGTTTGGGGATGGGCATATGACTCAGCCTAGCCAATAAGATACAGTGTGAGTTTTCTGGGCTCTCTGGGAAGGAGGCAGGTGTCCTACTGGGGCTTCAGTCCTGGAGAAGGTGATCCTGGAGGAGTAATAGGCCTCTTCCTACCCTGAGAAAAAAGAACCCAAAACTGCAGGCAGAAATTGGAGGCCTTGGAGGAGCCTGGCTGAAGACAGACCTGAGAAATGGAGAGAAACCCAACCCCGGTGAAATGATTGCAGCTGAGCCCAGGGCCAGCCTATATCACTAGATTGTTTTTTTTTTTTTTTTTTTTTGAGACAGGGTCTCACTATGTAGTTGAGTCTGACCTGGAACTCACTACGTAGCCCAGGCTGGTCTCGAACTCACAGTGATCCTACTGCCTCAGCCTCCCGAGTGCTGGGTTTACAGGCATGCACCACCATACCTGGCGACTGTTTATTTTTTTAGGCAATGTGTCACTATAGGGCTGTAGCCTACTTGGGTTGAGGTTTTCTGTTATTTTCCCTGGAGGAGTCCTATTGATAGCACTGTCCCTTCCACAGCAGTTCTGGAATGTGGGGGCTAGGAATTTGCCAGGAAAAGGCCAGGCACTGAGAAAGTTTATCTGAAGACTGGTTATCAGATCCAGGGGCTCCAGGCTCCACCCAGGATCCTGCATGGAAGAGGGTGACTTGGTGCTGGTGTCTGCAGAGGCTGCTGGAGCAGCTTCCGGCCTTGTCCCTTCAGGACCTGTCTATCCTGGGAGAAAGGAACCACACAGGACCTGAAGGTTGGGGGCACACCCTTCCAGCTGTGACGAGCACAGGGAGTCGACCCTGTGGGAGGGCTGTAGTTAGACAAAATCTGCTCGCTGTATTGTATCTCTTCATCATATGCACTCTTCCAGTCTCCTGCTTCATGTGTCCATGAAAGTCAAGCATGTACCCCAAGCACCTGCCCACCCCTTTCCCGGTGAACACAATAGCGACAGCAAGGGTGTGGCCAGTATGTTTGAGGTACAGAGGAAGCCTATGTGGGAGACGTAAAGAAATTCCCCAGGGGAGCATGGGTTCAGATATGGGGTGGTTGCAGATGAGCTTTGTAGACAGGGAGCAGTGGAGGAGGCACACATTTTAGCCTCTCTTCTGCTGCTATAATTGGATATTCAGGGTGGATAAATTATCAGCAGTCCTAGAGGCTGGGAAGTCCAGGATTGAGGGGCTGCACTGAGTAAGGGCCCCCCGCCCTGCCCCTGGGTCACAGTGGTGGCCATCTCAGTCTCAGCCTCCCCAGTGCTAGAAATTACAGGAGTGCACACCGTACCTGCCTCCAGTGACCTGCCCATTGTCTGGCTCAGTGAGACTGTTTACTGACAGAGGAAGGCCCAAGCCCTTGGCTAGACCCAGATATGTATTCACTGTCATTGAATGACCAGAGTCAAAAATTCAACTCAGTTGTCTTAGTTACTAAACAGGAGGACTATGTTAGAGGCTCTCTGTTCAGTTCTAACGATAGGAAAGAAACACACCCAACCCATTTCTGGTGTAACATGGGACGAGTCATGATGGTGGATGTGTGTTCTCTCACCGTAATCATCACCTTCCCTTCCTTCTAGGCCCCATCACTGGCTGTGGACATCTTTCACAACAAGAGGAGATAACTGTGGGCCACTGGCCAAACCCAGCCTGTTCTTATACAAGCTGCAAGTTTAAGAAGAGTTTTTATATTTTTCAATAGTTTAAAAAAGGTCAAAGAAAACATTTTGTGATGTAAAAGTCATACTGAATTCAAGTCCTAGTGTTCATAAATAAAGTTTTATTTGGACCCAGCTGTTTGTTTACATATGTTATTAGCTGCCTTTGGGCTAAGCATCACTGAGTAGTTTCAACAGGATGGCCCTAATACCAGTTGGCCCTCTGCAGAAGAGGTAGGCTGACTCCTGTTTTATAGTAAGGCCAAAATTTGTTTCGATGTTGCCATTAATACCTCACATTGTATGAGCGTGGACTTTCCCGAAGTGTTACAGAAATACATACATAAAATTCAACAGCCTCCTTTCTGTGTGATCCTCTCTTCGCTCTCATCTTCCTAGAGTTGACCGCACTTAGCTGTAAACCAGTGAGAACTTCAGGTATCTTTTATCAACCTGGATATGTGTCATTCAGGAATCTTCTGCATCAAGACACAGAAAACCCACCCGAGCAGATTAAACAGTAAAGAGAATTTATGACCTCTCACAACGGCAAAGTCTATGGTTAGAGCCGATTTCAGGTGACTTAGTAGCATCACCTAGGTCTCAGTCTGATGCATCCATCCCCGTGCTCTGTCATTACTGGGTTTTCACTGTGAGTCTCTGTTTGGTGACCCCAGGTTCTTTTCTCGAGGAACTGAACGGTCGCAGAAGTTCTAGACCTTTAACTACTGTACACCGGCTTTTAGCAAAGATAGATCTCTCTCTCTCTCTCTCTCTCTCTCTCTCTCTCTCTCTCTCTCTCATTTCTGCAGATGTGGTTCTTCTCAGAAGCACAAGCAAGCGTCTCCCTGAATGGGCCCTGGGGAACCCACTAAACACTGCATCACCAGAGACAAGAAATAAAGATCTTGAGCCAGGGATTTAGCTCAGTGGTTCTGCCGCCTGCCTCACAAGCACAAGGACCCGAGTTCAATCCCGGTACCAAAAAGAAATAAAGATCTTGTTAGCAGGAAAAGGAGAAGTGGATACTAACAAAGCAATCAAGGAATGTCTTCTGGGTCAAGCACTCCCCACCTTTTTGTTTGTTTATAAGAACTGATGTGTAACTTATGTCCCAGGGTGACTCCCACGGTTACTTGACTTCACCCACAAGGGCCTGTTTATTTCTACCTGTTCTTGTGGTGAAAAGGAAACTTTCTGACTTGGTTCTGCTAATGAGTAGCTTTAGAAGCTTGGAGAAGTAATTTACTTTTCTGGTCCTCTGTTTTTTATCTTTATAAAAAGAAAAGGTTAAAAAAATTCTGTGGCAGTCAGTTTCACCAGTTAGGTGAGACTCAGTGTGTGGATTTGAGGATATCCTGTTCTGAATGACAATAACATCATGCAATAACAACTGAGCATATAATAAGTGCTCAGCTAATATCTGCTGCATGAATAATGAACAGTAGAATTGCTAGACCACCTATCTCTTGTGGGATTTTGTTTGTTTGCTTTTTTATTGAGTTTATTGGTACAATCTAGGTATACAATACAGTTACATTCATCATTGGGATTCTGTACCTTTACATAATAGGTCTTGATTCTCATTTTTTCCCCTTGTCCCTGCCCTCCCTTCACCCCCTCCTCCCCTCCCCATTTACAAACACTTTATTTCCATTTTTTCAGTTTCTCATATTT